TTCCGCTGGATATTTTATCGAGGCCTGTTGCGGACTTTGCCGATATCTCCGGTGGATGGAAGTGGAGCAGCTTCGCCGCCTTCCTGCCTACTTCGGTTCTTTTGCGGATCGCCGCAATTATGCCGCCCAAAGCTTCAGCGGGCAGCGATCGGTTGATTTGGGGGCTCACGAGTCACGGTAAGTTCTCTACGAAATCGGCCTACTCACTTTTAGCCGACAGTGCGCCGCCTGTAGCCAGACCTTTGTGGAAAATTGTGTGGCGATCTCCGGTCGCACAGCGTGTTCGGCATTTCTTGTGGCTTGCAGCGCACGACCGTCTTCTCACTAATACGGAGCGCCGGCGCCGTCATTTGGCGGATTCCGCGAGATGCGCGGTCTGTGGGGAAGAAGAATCCACGCTTCACGTCCTTCGTGATTGTGCCGCGGCTGCCGCTGTATGGTCTCATTTGGTACCTGCTAGTGCATATGGCCGGTTTTCCGATCTGGATCTTTCCGACTGGTTTTGGTTCAATTTGGCCCCGGACACTGATTTTTCAGACACGACGTGGCCTGTCACTTTTTCTTATACCTGTTGGCGGCTGTGGGCTTGGCGGAATGCGTCTATATTCTCGAACATTACTTGGCAGCCGGCAGCCAAGGTCTATGATATACATCGACGAGTGGCGGGTTGCCTTGAGGCCAACACTAGACTGCAGAAATTTGGATCTCTAGCCCGTCAGTACGAAACCCAAATGATTCACTGGTCCATGCCGCCAACCGACTGGGTGAAGGTGAATTCAGATGGGGCCTTCTCTTCAGCTACGGGCTGTGCCTATGCGGGTGGATTAGCTCGTGACCCGCAAGGTCGTTGGCTAGGGGGCTTTGTGATGAATGTCGGTATTTGCTCCGTTACCGGAGCTGAGCTATGGGGTCTCTATCATGGGCTCTCTCTTGCATGGTCCTTGGGCATACGAAAGGTGGTGGCGGAGGCTGATAACATTAGCGCAATTAACATGGTCATGAGGCGTGAGGATGTGAGTGGGATTCACGATAGCCTCATTCGGGCGATACGAGAATTACGAGATCGGGACTGGTCAGTGGACTTGGTACACGTTTTTCGGGAAGCGAACTTCGCAGCGGATCATCTGGCTTCACTAGCGGCGTCTGAACCAATCGGGGTGCGTTATTTGACGGTTCCACCTCCATCAGTGGGCAAGTGGCTCGAGCATGATATAATCGGGGTTGCATACCCCCGCCGTGTTTTAACTTAGCATTCTAGGCTTCGGCCCCCCTTTATTGTACCGAAAAAAAAAAAGAAATTATTTCTTTATTTGAATATTGAATAATTTCATCAACATATGCAATAATTTCACTGGTATTAATTACAAATTGATTTTTTGTGATTCATGTTAATAATATTTTGGCCAAGATGAAGCTAAAACAAATTTTAAGTTCTACTCATATTATTAATTTTTTCAAAATATTGACTATTCGTCCTAAATTATTTATAGAAAATCGTAATAGATTATATAAATTTTTTCTTCTTCTAATTAATCATGCGAAATCAAGTTGGTAAATTAATCTTTGCCACGTTTTTTAAACTTTATTTAAAGATACAAAAAAAAAAAA